CTGAAGAGCTTCTTACCACATATATCACTGGGTTCTGGCCCCCAGGGTGCTTCTTCAGAAGGTCAAAGCAGGTTCTGAGAATTTGTATTTGTAGAGAAAAGCAACTGAGGACAGTGGGGTCTTTCCATAAGGAAGTTTAAATGTGGTATACAGGTTAGACAGGAAGGGATTCAGAAAAAAATTAGAGACTTCATGGCAAAAGTAGGTCAGGATACACCCACATAGAGTGGGGTTAACACGAACTGATGGAGAAAGTAGGGAAGGGAGAGAAGAGCCAGGTGGTATGGCACTTACCATAGGCCATACAATATCTAGAAAGGAATTTGTGGAGAAACAAGGGCATGTGAGATCCAGTTCCTTCATCTGGACTCCCTACCAGTACTGGAGAGAAAAGGCCCAACAGAGACTGGAGAGTCAATACAAAGAGAGAAAATGGACTGGCACTCAAACAAACCTGGGTTAGAATCCTGGCTCCATCACTGCCTCCATCACTGTATACAAAATTATGAATCTGTCTTTCAACTCCCTGGCAAACAAATCTCCACTGTGAGTTACCACCAAGTCTGTTCCCCTAAAAGTATAAAAATTAATACAACATTTACCCAGCACAGAACAAGCTTTCAATAATATTAGCTGCTACTTTTATTCTCACAAAGTCAACAGGCATAATACCTATTAGCTTTCTACATAGTTTAACCCTTTCAACCCATTCATGAGCATGTATAATTAATAGGTTGTTCAGACTTCTTTCAAGTGGCCTCATTGCATGCCTACTGTACTGATTTCATTGTTAAAATCACATTTTTGAATGGGGTGATGATGTGGGATTCCCCTCTGTATGCTTTGATTGCCATTGATTAATAAAGAACTGCTTTGAGCCTATGGCAGGGCAGAACAGAACTATGTGGGGAAAGCTAGGCTGAATGCTAGGAGAAAGAGGGCAGAGTCAATTGACACCATTGAGCTGCCAGAGGGGAAAGATGTGAGCTGTCAGCTGGAACCTTGCCGGTAGGCCACGAACCTTGTGGTAAAATATAAAACAATGGAAATGGGTTAAATTAAAATGTAGGAGCTAGCCAATAAGAAGCTAGAGCTAATAGGCCAAGCAGTGATTTAATTAATACAGTTTCTATGTGGTTATTTCGGGGCTGAGCAACCGGGGACAAACAAGTGGTCTCCTCCTACAGGGTGAGAGGAAGAAGCTTAAAAGAGAAGAAAATAACATGTGGAAGAAAAAGGGGAGAATCCTGGGGTAGGAAATATTTAAAGGAAAGAGGAAGGAGGCAGATAAGAGAAAGGTTGGTGTTGGGGAGATGGTCAACCAAACTAAGAATATATGGAAAAGCCACAAAGAAACTTACTGCTTTATGAGCTCACTGTGGTGTGAGCTCTGAATGAGAAATATATAAGCTCATGTATTGAACACTTGGTCCGCAGTTGGTGGCAATATTTGGAGAGGCTATGGGACCTTTCAAAGGTGGAGCACCTCTGGAGAAAGCTTGTCACTTGGGTTTTGTGGATTTATAGCCTGGCTTCACTTCCTGCTGGCCTTCTCTGGTCCTGTGCATTTCAGTTACAAGGATCAAAAAGTGTGTTCGAACCAATTAAAGTCAAAAAGGAAGCTAAGCTGGGCAGTGGTGACACATGCTTTTAATCCCAGCACTCTGGAGGTAGAGGCAAGTGGTTCTCTGAATTCTCAGATTTGGTCGGTGCTGTGGGATGATATTTCTGTATGCTGTGAATATGTATTCTATTGATTGAGCATTAATAATTAATATAAGCCTCTGAATGATTATTTGGAAGCAGCTATGGGACAGGGTAGTACAGAGAACGTATCGTTTATAGATCAGAGAAGCCTCTTTTGGTAGTAGATAATGGTCAAAGCAGAAACCCATAACTGATCAAAGTGCTGAGAATAAGTAACTGCTGAGTGCTTGGATTAATAAGGGTCACCTATGTAACACTTCCCCCTTTAAAATACGGGGATCATTGAGGAAGAGTGGGTGGAAGGACTGTGGGAAGTAACCAGGAGGAGTGCAGTGAAGTATGTCTTCTGGATATGGCACAGCTGTGGAATCACGAACACACAGAAACTGTGACTGCCTGTATAGGCAGGGGAGAAGGAAAGGAAGGACACGAGGGTAGGAGGGAGACTGATTGTAAAGAGGAGGTCAATAGAAGTAGAGAAGGGATTAGATAAGGTAGTGGAGGTGAATGTAATACAAGTATGTTTATCTTTTTTTAATTAATCAAATTCTTGAAATCACCTCTTTCACTCTCAAAAAAGCTCCTGGTTCAGAAGATAAGACAAATGATCCCCTTTACAATTATCCCTACATTACATATAAGATAAAAAACTCCCAGAACATGCAGTTGTTAAGTGACAGATCTGGGATTCGAACCTGCCAGCTTTTCTGTAATGGATGTGCTTGAAACTATTTCATCACACTGCATTCTGAAGGTCTCTGAAATCCAAGCTTGGTTGTGAATGTTGTCTACCCATCCAAGCAGAAATCCCTCTTTAGGTCAGAAGAGAACCAGGTTGAATAAAGAGAAATAGGCAGTCAGTTTGGAGAGGTAAAACAGAAATGTGTTGGAAGACTCTGGTAGAGGCAGGAAAAAGGATAAATCCAATACAACTTCACACACTCGTTACTCCTCTCTTGGGAACTTCCCCCCAGCAACCAAAATGGGACATAATTACAACTGCTCTCCTCCTCAGAGAACAACTTAGAGTCTCTGCAAAGTACCAAGAATCTAAACAAACAGAAACCCTGCCTAAGGAAAGATGTCATCAGAAGTGAGAGGACCTGTCTTATATAAAAACTTGGTCTTTGAGAGACTGTACCTTCCATATTGTTTACCCTTCCTAACAAGTCATTCGGCTAATTGAATATGGCTTTAATGTCTACTCAACTGTCCTGAGTATGCTATTCACTCTAACATGATCTAAGACAAACTCCAAATTCAGCACTCCCCCTGGGTTCATTTCCTTCTCTACCTCTACCCTTTTAGGGTGACTTTGTACCAATGCCTTAATATCAGGGACTCTGGGCTGATCAGCCTAGGTTGCAGAGAGAGCAACTTCCTAAGGGGAAAGAGACCTATCATAGCCTGCCCTAACTTATGGATTTCAAAGACAAATTGAAATTATTTAGGGACCATCTACTTAAATCTTCCCCTCCCTCCTCTAGTAACAGTGAGCTTAACTATCCATAACAATTGAGACAATTATTAAATTTCATTGTCTTAATAGTAGCCCGTTGATTAACTGTGATGCATGGTTAACCTTAGCTCTGTTTTACAAGCATACTTAAGTGCACAGTCGTGTAAAAGGTGTTCAGGTGTATAACTGGAAGTAAGTTTATTCAAATTCATGTCTTCTCCTAGAGGCTAGAAGAGGTTGAGAACAGCCAATTTTCCTCAAAGTAAAACTTCCTTTGCTGTACATTTCTTTCAGCATTCTAAAGTCAGTTGTTGGAGGCAACCTTACTGAGAAGAGCCAACTTCCAGTTTTAGGGTGAAAAGCCATATTTCGGGTCATAGATTTTCTTTCTCAGAATAACTGGTGTTCGTTTCCTTCATACATTTATATTTCCATCAGAACAGATATTCAGATTGTTCAGCAGTGGTAAATCGAGCAGTATTTGCTTTTGAAAACATCAAGTCAGTGAGAGCAACCTTGAGTGATTAATATACACTTTAGCTTAACCATAATGTGGTTTTCTGAAACCCAGGATGCTGAGTGTTTAAAAAGAACTTTTTGAAGGGTAATTCCTGTGAGGTGAGAGAAAGGGTTAAGGTTAAGTTTCCTGAAGCTAAGGTTAAGTTTCAATAGATTCAGGACTTCCTATCCTAACCACTGCCTTTCCTTCAGTGCCTCAGTAAAGCCGCATTTCCCTGAATTGCTAAAGCTGCTTGGCTTCCTTGGGACAAGGAACAAAGACTCAGTGAAGCCACTCTCTGGAAAAGGAATTTGTGGTGCTGCTGTCTTCATCTGTTTCCTATTGGCATGTGTGAACACCATCCCCAAGTCCCCAAGTTTTAAAAAACAGCTGTTTGTCTCACTAATGGTTTTTGAGGATGAAAAGTCCAAGAATTTGACACTAGCATCTGGTGTGGGCTCTATTATGACCCAGCAGAGGCATTATGTGAGATACAGAGCAAGCATTGTAGCTTAGGTCTCTCTTCCTTTTCTTAAAAAGCCACTAATGCTTTTATTGGGACTACCCTCTTGGCTATCCAATCCTAATTACCACTCAAGGATCCCACCTCCAAATACCATTAACATATGACTGGGATTTAAAGTTCCAATTTGAGGGACAAAGTCAAAACATGGCACCATCTCCGACTTAGCTTTTAGTATAGCAGTTTATAGGCCTTGTGCTCTAGAATGAAACAACGTTGTATTTTTTTTGTTCTAAATTTTCTTTCGTAAGTTTCCAATCACTTTGGTTCACAGTATCTCTTGCTTTCTTCATAGCTCTCTCATAGACCCTCTGTCTCAGATGGATCTCCAAATCTAAATCCTCAAGGGGATTGAGCTAACTTTACTGTCTGTCCCATTAGGAAGAGTCCTTACCTCGAAAATTCTGGATCCATCCAAGACAGCCTTATTCTTATCCTACTTCTCTAAGCAGGCAGTCATGGGAAAGGAGCTTCCACTAGAAGCACATGGACAGCAGTACGACTTATACTATTAATTCTCTTTTGATTTTGATTTTTTTTTCTGTATGGAAGCAAAAAAAAAAAAAAAGCAAAACTTCAAACTTTCAAAGAGGCAGAGCTGGCCTCCATACCCCCAGTGCCCCAATTCCTGCACGGCCTTCTATGCCCTCTCCCATTCTCTATGTTCCTCCCAGGGGTCTCTACCCTCTTGCTCAGTATCCTCAACCACCCATGGATCTTTCCTCTACTATTTATCTAGACTCCCAGTCCGATATCTGTGTCCCTTACAAGAGTCCAGTAACTCATCCTGGGTCTCTCTCATGTGTCTCCAGGGCCTGCCCAGTCCCTTCCTGCGCTGCCCTTCCCAAAGACTCTTGGATCGTGTGGTTCGACGCTATGCTGAAGTGGTTGATGCTGGCAGCATCTTCATGGACCACTTCACCGACCGTGACAAGCTGCGTCTCCTCTACACACTGGCTGTCAATGCACACCCCATCATTCTGCAGGTACTTGGTGACCCCCACAAGCTCTCCAGGTTATGTTACCACCTTGGAATTTCAGAGACCATCCATAAGTTGATTTTTCTCTCCTTCTTGCTTCATGTCTTGGGGCCACAAATCTGGGCTCATACATTTGCAACATCAGGTAAGTGTTTGACAGCCTTGGCAGCTAGTGAGGAAAGAGGTATGGGAGTGCAGGGCTGGGAATGTAGGTGACAGGGAACAGCAGTCAAATTTACAAATTGAGGCAGACAGGAAGGCATTCATGAATCTCTGCCACTAAGAGAAACATGATCTGAGCAAGTTTCATGGATTGGTGAGACAGCTACTCAGAGATATACCTTGAAGCTGTGTTTGGAAAGGAGAAAAAAAAACTGAAAGTGAAATTATTGAAAAGTGGTCAAATAAATGAGTACATATTAGGCCTGGGACACACTTAGTCAAAAAGATAGAGGCACCATGTTAACAGTTATCCATAGAATTCATGGAGCTAAATTCCCCCAGAACAAGGGTCAGGACATGGACACATAAGTCACATCATGGACAGAAAAGATACCAGAAGTCACAGGGGGAGAGAAGGGGTGAAAGAAGAGTAAAGGGTGAAGGAATGGGATGGGAGGAGGAGGGAGAAAGATAATAATAGGGGGAGGAAGAAAAGGAAAAGAGGAGGGAAAGCTTGGCATGGTGACACGGGCTGTATAATAAGACCATCTTTTTCTTTTTTTCTTTCTTTTTTTGGGGGGTGGGGTGAGACAGGGTTTCTCTGTGTAACCCTGACTGTCCTAGAACTCACTCTGTAGACCAGTCTGGCCTTGAACTCACAGAGATTTGCCTGTCTCTGTCTCCTGAGTTCTGGGATTAAAGGTGTACACCACCACCTGGCATGAGACCATCTTTTAAAATACCATAATATAAAAATACAGGTAGGGAAGAAAGGAGCCACAACACAGATAGTTCCTAAATATTTGCCAAAAAACTAATGGATGACTACACAATGAAGACTGTTGGTTATTAGGTTCTTGCTGCGTGCCAGGTGTGCTGAATAATGGCTATCATTGTCAATTATTTCTCACTACAAACCTCCAGAATGATATTGTCATCTCCATTGGGAATAAGACGGGAGAAGTGCCTTAGCCACTATCACCTAAACACAAAGATGTCTGCCATCAGAGACAACAAAAGCTATACTCTACCCATTAAACCTGCCTAGTGTCTTTGACATGCTAGCAGCAGAGAAGGAGCTGCTCTTTGCCCTACATGCTCAGGGGTCTTCTTGGAGGCCTTTTACTCACAACTTTTATTCTAACTTTTGTTGTCACCTTGGTTACCTGAAGGTCTGGTTCCTGAGAGACCTGACCTGGAACCATGTGGCTGAGACACCCCACTCAACCCTGGGCATTACCAAGAAAGAGTGTGGTAGGGGACCAAAGAGTGGTTTTGCATATTTAAACAAGATCAGTAGGTCCAGGTTGTCCCTTGGAGGCACATAGTGTATAAGGTACTCCAGTTAGGGAAGCTCAAAGACCATGACTCTTTATAACGTGACTTAAAAGAGGTAGAAGATACAGGAAAGAGAGACAGACAGGCAGACAGACAGACAGAACTTTGAAGTCTACTTTTTATTTTATTTTCTGTAGTGCTGGGGATGGGACCCAGGGCCTTGTGTTTGTCAGGTAAGTGGTCTGCCACTAAGATGCATCACTCAGACATACTTTGTTTTCTTAAGGTAAACAAAGGGGAAAGTGGTGTTTATAGTTTTGCTTGTCAGTTCTAGACACAGATTCATTGAGAAAATGATAAACAGTTGAGGCTCTAACACATACAGGGAATATTCCTTATGGCCCTACCAATAGATGAATACAAGCGGCCCATGGCTACTGAGAGAAAGAGAATCAGTCATCTTTCTCCATGGACAAATTCCCACATAGACTGTCCAATTCCAATGGTCAGCTCTGGTCACATGTACATATGAGTGACACTAAATGGACTCAGTAGGTTGTATATAATATATATGTGTGATTATATATGTCTATAAATATATGTATCTATGTGTAGCAATAATTAAGAATAGATCATGAATTTTGGAGAAAGAAAGGGGACACAGGAGTTAGGAGGAGGAAAGGAGGGGTGGGAATACAGGGTTCATTTATGATGTACAAAAAACAGACAAAAACAAATAAAAAAATTTAAAAATGGCCAAGAAAAAACAGCTAGGATTCCTTCCTAACTTTATATCACCCAAATCCACAAGTTGAGAGCTTTTTCCAAGGACAGAGGCTAGGCTATGCTTCCCCAGACCAATGTTAGTCTATCTGGAAGCTTCCCACCAGTGGAGAAGAATCTTTAAGTGTGTAGTTACCTGAACCATGCAGGAATATCCAGTCTAGCAGCGGGAACAGCCACCAGAATTATTCTTGTCCCATCTTAGAACCAGGTAGTTGTATTTATTCATTTATTTATTCATGAGCTCTGTTGACCAAGCTGACCTCAACCCTCCTGCCTCATCCTCCTGAGCAGCTTGAAGAAACCAGCTCACATGATACCTGATTTGTAATGTATTTATTTATTTATTTTTTTATTATTATTGTCTTTCAGTTGCCCTGAAGTTTCTCTTTTATTTTTTTCCATGGCCTCTTCCTAAGTAATGATATCTTGGAAAGTACAGACTAGTCATATTTTTTAAATGGCACAACTTAAAAGAAAAATACCCTGAATCCTGGATACCACTGAAAATCACTGAAGGTTGATTAGCATTCTCAGGTTCCACTTGGAGAAACTCGTAAAATCTGATCCACTGCATAAATGAGAGCGGCCTCCTTCCTGATTCCTTCCATTAGCAACACACTCCCAAAGTAGGGGGAGGGCAGGGCCTTACTATGTTCCAAAAGGTATGAAAAGATGGGGAAATGTTTTGCCAGCATGTTTTGAGATCCAGGGTGGCAATAAGACTTATTTGTGTGGGCTGTGGGTGAGAGGTAGAAAACAAACTCCTCTGTGAGATCTCTCTGTGTCTAATTCCTGCTCCTTCTGGCTTGGCAGATCTTCCCGGGGGCAGAGGGCTGGCCACTGCCCAAGTACCTGGGCTCCTGTGGTAGATTCCTGATCAGTACCAGCACCAGACCACTGCAAGAATTTTACGATGCACCCCCAGAGCAAGCTGCTGACCTTGCCTACCAACTCCTTGGGGTCCTGGAGTCCCTGAGGAACAATGATTTGAACTATTTCTTCTACTTCACCCATGTTGATGCAAACATGTTTGGCATCTTTGACAATGGGCATCTGTTCATCCGGGATGCCAGTGCACTAGGTGTCATCGACAAGCAGGAAGGTACTCAGCATGGGCTTCATTGAGCAGCTGTCAAAGGGGATGTTAGGGTGACGAAGGCTAAGGAGGGGTGACCTGGGCCTTTGTACTCTCTGTATGTCACAGAGTAATCCAAGTTGGGAAATGTTATTGGTCATAGCACAATATCTCCTCACCCTCATTTGAATTTTGGTTTTATCTTTATTTTCAAAGGGAAAATGAACTTGGTCTTGCCTGTAAGGGGCATTGTCCGTGGTGGTATGGACCCCCAGTGAGCCCTCCCAGGGTAGTTCTGGATCTCACTCACATACAAGTCACAGGCCCCTCTCCCCCTCAGACCCTTTCTCCTCAGATGCTCTTAGCCTTGGTCTAAGATACAACTGCTGGCCTAGTTCACTTTGCAGTTAGTGTTGACATATTGACCCTGTAAGGTTTGAAAATTACACAAACAGGGAACTGAACGAGGTGTGTGAGCAAGTCACAGTTCTCGTTGTTCACAACGGCTCAGCCAAGTGTTCTAGAGACCATTAAGCCCCAGTTTCTCAAGGTGACCAAATTTGTTGAGCCCAATAACAGGACAAAAGATTTTTTCCCATTTCTGACACTTTTTTTAAACAAACTCTGTAGAGGGAAAAAACCTTTCCTCACTTCCTGATTTGCCTTTATTAAGAAGAATCAAATTAAAAGAGAGATTGATCCCAGCTATGCAAACATCAGTTCCATTGTAACCTGCTAAACACATATTTTGGATGACATGTTTTCCTCCCTGACTTTTTATCCTAATGGTACAATAAAACCAATCCTAATACCATCCTCACTTCCCTAATTCAGTAATAACAGAAAAGTAACAATGTGGTTATAATTTTTATAATTATAGCCCAGCTTCTGGTAGAGACAAGTGGGTTTTCCATGCTTGGGCTTTAGCCTAATTGTAGGACAGTATTACTCAATGCTGTTCTCCAAAGGGGCTGCTGTGTTCTTGAGCCCTACATCTGATGACAGGGAAATGCTTGGATACTAAAGCACTTCACTCCGCAATTGTAATTGGCAGTCCCCCTTCACCCCGTCCCCATCCCCACAAGAATAGGTTTACAATATCTGATATTTTCCATGTTTCTTCTAGGCAGCCAAGCAGCTTCCAGGACTGGAGAGAACAAAGACATTTTTAGCTGCCTGGTGTCTGACTGCACCACCCAGCTGTCCTCCTGTGACACTGTCCCTGAGAAGCAAAACCTGGTGCTGGTGTGTCAACAATTGCTGCCTCGACTTCTCCAGGGAAAGTTTCCTTCCCCTATGCAAGAGAAAATAGACTCTGCTCTCAGTCTGTGTAGCAAGAATGCCAGCACAGACATGGAAGTTTTAGGGGCCACCAACCTACTGAAGGACATCTTAAGACCACTGAGAACCTGTGACCCTAGATTTGCCTACCGCTACCCAGACTGCAAGTATAATGACAAGTTCTGAGTGACTGGGGCCTAACTAGCTTGAAGGGACAATCCACAAGCTCTTCCATGTCCATGGATGAGTTGACACCAAATTAGAAGAAGAAATTTCAGTTTAAATATTTAAGTACATTCCTTTCCTAGGAAACACTCAAAACTAGTGAAAGAAACTTGTCTAACATGCTTGCCTTCAAGTCCTCTAAAAGACAAGTGTCAAAACATGAGTTTTCTTAGAGAGGACATGCTATGGGGAAGGTAAACAGGCAAAAGCTGACAGGCAAACTCGTGCTGCACTCTGACCTGCCAGCAAAAAAAAAAAAAAAAAAAATTGTCAATGCAAGAAAGTTTTTCTGGATGTCTACAAGACCAATATGGAGCCATACACCAAGAGAGCTCCATGTCTCCCACGAACAGATCTGCTGTATTAGCCCTGTGTGTTCAGGGATATGCAGAACAGGCTGTCCAAGTGTGACTACAGCTTAGTTACAAAGACAGATTTCAGAGCACAGCAGCCTGAGGGTACCAGACAGGTTTCATTGTTCATTGTAACTTCAGCCTGGGACCAGGGCCTGGTCTCTTCCATACCACATGCTCCAGTGCAAGACTCAAAGGAGTCCTAAAATTTACATCCAAATGTGACCTTACAAGTTTTATTTAAAACAAACAAAAAAAAACATTTTTTTAAAGGTCAACCAATGGAATGCATTTTCCTCTGCTGTGCCTTTAAAATATTTAACTACATGGCTTATGGGCCTCTGTGCATGCCTCCTTAATAATTATAAAGGGCTCTTAGACCTTTGCCTAGCCTCCCTACTAGACTTCTACTCCTGGGAATTGATCAGTCTACCTCCTTTCTTCTACCTCTAAATCAGCACCTTGGAGGTCAGAACACTCAGTCAACAAGCCTTGCTGCACCCATGGGGAAACAGAGGCCCAGGGAAGATGTGATTTGCTTGGATAATGCCGAAACCCTCCCTACCAGTTCATTCACCTGTTGCCTTCCCCATCAGTCTCAGACACCCATCTTGAACAATTCAGTTCTAATTTCTTTCACATTTAAACATGAATCCCTATCTTGTGGTATACTGGGGGACCTTTCAGTTTTGCCTTTTGACTGCTCCAGACACTCTCTGTCCCCTGGAAACCACAACAGTGAGGATGGCAGGCCAAGCTGCTGCAAGGACTGGCTTGTCATGCTTGAGAAGCTTTAAAGCTGATGTCTTCTGGTTGACTGTTGAGAATGAAGTCCGACCACATCTCCTTACTGACTTGCTGGGGTATGTGCTCCCAGACAGCCTCCTGACCAGAACCCAAGGAAGGGGCTACAGTCTCAGACTCCCCAAAGGTACAAATGAACATAAGACTGTCCTCAGGACTCTCCAAGACACATGCCAGGCCTGGCCTCTCTCAACAGAACCATTGTTTTTCCACTAAATACTGTAAGTGACTTTGAGTGACGCCCCAGGGTGAGTTGAAAAATGGAACTTACTGTAACCCTCTTCTTATTCCTCTATCACATATCTGTGGGGAAGGTAAGAAGGGGGGACAAATGAAGACCTCTCCTCTGGACCAGTGACCTGGGACTCTAAAGAGCTGCTGAGTCTTAGAAGGGAAAATAGCCCTAGACACCTCTTGAATCTAGACAAAGACATCTTATGTCCTCCTTGATCGCATCCCAGGAAAGAGCAAAGAACAAAACTATCTGAGTACCCCCTGGAAAATAGTGGGATATTTGTTTTTAGTACAAGCTAAAGCAAACTACATGTTTTTGCAGCTGTGTGCAGATCCGCAGGGCAGGCCAAAGGAGGACAAACAACTCTTAGGGCCTAACACTTTGGAGTGGCCTGGAAATAGCTCCTCAGCTAGTGACCTTTTGCAAGATCAGGAAATAGAGAAGTCCCTTTTCTCATGCCTTTTGAGAACAAAGCAGACTTGCTCTTTTCATCGTGATTGAAGATCCAGGCCCCCTCCTAGGTCTTATCTCCAAGGGATATACTCCCCACTATCTGCCATCTGTTTATTCTCTGCCGCTACTTCTACAAAGGGCACCTCTCTCTCCAACGCAGGAGAATAGTAGGCAGACAGCACTGACTGCCAGCCCTTTGGGCTCTGCCTTGGTCACTCTGTGGCTTCACTCCAGGCCACACCCATCCTAAGGCTTATCCATACCTAGTCACTGGGCTTGGCAAGATGTGATGTCTCAGGCAATTTGGCCCACTTAGCTACAACTCTGATGGGTAGTTTTTATTCCAAAATTCTCCATGAATCAGACCAAGACTTTACTGGCCCTTCATCACAGTCCAACTTCCCCTACTCCTCCTTTCCCTCTGAATTCTTTTCACGGGTGTTGGCTAGACAACTTGTGCCCATTTTGTGCCAAAATGGTAGCTCCAGAAAAGTATTTTCACATCTTAATCCTCAGAAACTGTGACAATTGCCTTATATGGGATATGGTTAAGGATGCTGGGATTTTCCAGGATTATCTAAATGAGTCCTAAATGGCAGCCCATGTGTCTTCATTATGAGGGAGGTCAGGGGACTTTTAAGAGAGAAGAACCAGTGAAGTGAAAGCAGAGGATAAGATTGGAATGAGGGCAATTATAAGCCTCCAGCAGTCACCAGAATCTGGAAGAGGCAAGCAATGAACCTTCTGCCATATCCCCCAGAGGGAATATGGCTCTAATGCTACCCTAACTTTAACCCAGTGAGCCCCAAGAACTGTGAGAGGATATAAATCTATTGGTATACACCACCTCCTGTATAGTGATTTGTTTAAATACCTTCAGCAATCCAATACATACTCCAAAGTCTACTGAATATCAGCTTCCAGAGAGCTCCAACTGCAATACTTGTCCACAGTCTACCATGAGCAAATAGAAAGTAGTCCTTGGGCTGATGATGTAGCGCACTGGTAGAGCCCTTGCTTAGCATGCTCACGGCCCTAGTTTCGGTCCCAGTACAACAGAAGCATGTCTTGGCATGGGAAGCATGAGCTGTAGCCCCGTGTAAGGATAAGGGCTTCCATCCTCCAAAGCTCTAAACACCACTGAAGAGCCTGCTCAGTCCTCCATTTATGCAGAGCCTTTAAAATATGCCAGCCACTACAGAACACTTTCTGAACCTTGTCCCTGAAATTCTGGTCCACATGTTTGTGCCTCATTTGAGTATGATTTCAGGAAGACCTGTGTCCTGCTTCCCCATCCGTCTGGGAGCTTCCTGAGTCTGGGTGTAATGTGGAGAACTTTGTGTTCCCCTCAACAAGGGAGGGCTGGACCCAGAGCAGAGGCTGAGAACAATGAGTGCCTTCTTTAGCCCTTCCCTACATTGTTCACATACCATACTGGCTACCCATCAGATGGAAGACTTCTCAACAGGCAAGAAACAGTTGAGTCAGCACCCAAGAGCCTTCAACCAGAATAAAATTATCACCAGCTTCTCTCTGCTCCCTGGGATTTGAGTGGAGGCATTATTTCGCCAGTTTTTGTCAGCTATGCCTTTTAGCCTCTAGGACTGGCTATGTGACTTGTGGGGCCCAAAGACAAATGAAAATTTGAGATGGACCTGTACAGAAACAACTAATAGTTGCAAACTGAACCAGCAAAGCTAATCTGAGGCCCTCTGCTCTATAGATTACAGGCTCACCAAGCTGGCCCAGGGGACAGACTGCAGATACGGATTCCCCTTACACTTGACATTGAGTCTTACTGGCATTGGCTGAGGGCTCATTTAACCTTCACACCAAAGGGAGCAAGTTTAGGACAGTGATGAAATGTAATATATGCCGAAGGCTTATGAGATCAGACTCCACCAACTGCAGTTATCAGGAAGGTATAATGCCAGCTCACCCACAAGTCTGACTTAGCACAGGAGAATGCTGGCTTCAGTGTTTTGTTAAGTGTGATTGTTTTTACGTTTCCTGACTGTGGTCTTGCATCGTCTGACTTCTGCCTATAAGTGATTCCCTAAGTCTGAACACTTTCCCTGGTGTTAACAGAAATACTTTGTTGAAACTGAGGTCTTTGGTGGAAAGTCCAGATCTCTGGAAATAGACTGACTTGTTATCAAATCATGATTATCTTGTTACTGTATAACTTTCTCCATGTTATTTATTTTTTCCAGATATCACTCTTTTTGTGTATAAAATATGGAGGAAGAGATTTACTCTTGCAGAAATATTGTCCCCTGTAAGTGATGTGGGTCTCTTTTTGAAAGGAAAGAACAGAGGCATTCTCTATAGAGAACATAGTGACATTTTGAAGGAAATTCTGACTCCTACCCAGGAGGCAACTGGCCCTCTGGCTGCTGACAGTCTGACTGTGGTCATTTTTGGTGCTTCTCCCATTCAGACCCTTGGTCAATCATGAAAGGCAACTGGGCAGCTTCTGTCCCCACCTCCCTCCCTAGCCTGGCCTTCCATCAGGCTCAGAAGGGAATCTTCCAGTGAACATGGTACAGGGAGCCTTACCAAGTCCATCTGTGCTCATTATGTGAAGAGAAATAAGGACATAATGTCCCAGTGAGCACCAGTCTCCTAGCTAGCTCATGGTGCTGTGGCTCCCCTATCCACCTTACCCCTGCTTTTCACACACATTGGCCCAATTGAGCTCACAAGAACATAGGATATTCTCTGATCAGCTTGCAGCTCTTGAAGGAATTTCAAATGATAGGAAAAGCTTGACACCCAAACAGGGGACAACAGCATTTGCAGGTTTGCTTGAGTATTTGCATGAGTAAAGAATGGCTTCAGGCCTGTACTGTGACCAGAGGGCCAGCGTGGCAATCCCAAGGAAGCAGACATGTATCCCTTTGGATCCTGTTGCAGTCAGCATAGCAAAAATCAATATATCCAAGTTACTGTTTGCAGGAATGTTAGTCTTTGCAATTAAGCAATAAGCACTTCATTTGTAATAGCAAAATGTTGGAAATATATTTCTACAGAATAACCTCCAAGGCATCCATACAACCGAGTGCCACCTTGTACAGAAGGATGATGAGTGACTCTGAACTCACATGAGGAAACGC